TTTCACATTTACTCCTATTGAAGTCAGCTGGGTTCAGAAGGGCAGAGTTTTCTGATCTCTCTTCACACGTCTCACTCCCGAACACCTCGAGCAATCTCACATGCCTCCATTCAGTCCTTGAGCGATCTCTGCACTTCCATTTTCTCTTATCCCTGCGATCAAAGCGCAGAGCTCAGCTATCTGAACCGATAACCAGCTCACGCGCTCTGCCGCCCCGCACAAACACACAGCGGGAGCAGCTTACCCAGATAAAATCATACACCACTAATGATCACGCAAATGCATGTTTTCCAAATTTAACTGTTTTAAAATGTAAAGCAATCTGTTCCAGCGCTCGTCATCAAATGAGCATAAACAAGCCACTGCCACACCGTCACTTTAATTTCCATTCAACCCCTGGTTCTTAATTGAATTTCAAACCTTTCCAGAAACGCTTGAACGCATTTGAATTGTAAATTGATTCTCGCTCGGCTGAAACATAAATATAAAGATGAAAGATGAAGAGGTGAGCATTTGCCGAACGGAGAAATCAGTCCTGCCGTTTGTGACGGTGACATTAGCTAAAGTGTCTTCTCACGTCCTCAAAAAGCCTGGAAGCCGAATGAAAGAGCAGATGTTAATGCTGTAGCCCTGCCTGTAGACATGCCCTGGGCTCTTTCTAAATTGCCCAAACATCTGCCTCCTGTCGTCTGTAAACCTCTCTCTATTTAGCTCATTAGTTGAGTGGCTCATTAGTAAACACTTTCTTAAATGACCGTGCACTGAGCATATCTTCTGAACGTGGTCATTTGCAATGTGGAAAAGTCAAGTTGTGGTCATATTGATAAATGTGAGATGCACAAAAACAGGCTGTTTATATTAGTCTATTCTTAAACCGCTAACACTTTAGCATAGGGACCAATTCTGACGATTACCTAGTTGCTTATTAGCATGCCTATTATTAACATAACAGCTGTTTATTCGTTTATTCTGCATGACCGTATTCTACATCCCTAATCTTAACCAGTACCTAAACTTAACAACTACCTTACTGACTATTAATAAGCAGCAAATGAGTAGTTTTTGAGGCAAAAGTTATAGTTAATGGTTTGTTAATAGCGAGCATTGAACTTTAAAATAAAGTGTGACCCTAAAACCTAGTAAGCTTCACACTGGCAACATTTTAGGGATCGTACTGTAGGCGTATCCCAAACGCAAAGGATGTTCCAGACAGTCTGCAGTAATATTATGCCGTCCTATCTGATCTGATATGATCCAATAAACAAGTAGTTTGTCTGGCTGTGAGATGCGATAAAATTAATCTAAATAACAGCCAATCAGACGTGTGTGTAGGCAGACTCTATTTGCAAGCGCACTGCTGTCTCGCACTCACACAAAATGGATCAGTACACATCAGATTGAATAAAAATGAAACCAATTTAACATTATCAAAAGCGACTGATACAAACTTGTTCACAGTTTACATGTTCTGGTTTCCCTAAATTTATTTTTGAGATCTGAGGTAAATTATTCATTATAGCTTTCATTATGGCTGTTAAAGTCACACACAATGATACTTGAAAATCAGTGGTGTAAAGTAGGGGTGGGCGATATACCGGTAGACACAATTAACCGGTAGAAATTTGTCAGCTGGTAGAGATTTTGTGATGTTGCTGTGGTGTTATTTTTGCCGCCTTATGGGCCTTGAATGGTCAAAATGCCCGTCGTTGCAAGTATCTTCGTAAACACAGTTAATTAGATCTCAAGTGATAGCAAACAGCTGAGAAAGAAAACACCTGTGTAACAGTATACTGGATCCGGGCAGCTCTTAAAGTGACAGCAGTCTAACATTCATGCTGTCTGTCATTCATGTTAAACAAACAACAGCCTGCTTTTGACTAAATCACTTTTGTAACTTTGAGAAGAAGAAATACATATTTAATTTTCACAGTGAAGAAAATGCAGTGTTTTTATTTCTTAGCATTTCTTATTTGTTTAGTGTCATTTGTCCTATTGCTTGTAATTAGTTTATTATTCTTATTTAATCACTAACTGTAAATAACTATAATGATATATATTATGGTTGGGAACGATACGCTAATCTGCCGATTCAATACTATCCCGATACTTGTGTGCCGATTCAATATATATTGTGATAATTGAGTGTTGCGATTATATAAACAAACAACAGCCTGCTTTTGACTAAATCACTTTTGTAACTTTGAGAAGAAGAAATACATATTTCATTTTCACAGTGAAGAAAATGCAGTGTTTTTAGTTTTTTAGCATTTCTTATTTGTTTAGTGTCATTTGTCCTATTGCTTGTAATTAGTTTATTATTCTTATTTAATCACTAACTGTAAATAACTATAATGATATATATATTATGGTTGGGAACGATACGCTAATCTGCCGATTCAATACTATCCCGATACTTGTGTGCCGATTCAATATATATTGTGATAATTGAGTGTTGCGATTATATAACTATTGCGATTCGATAATACAATTTATTGTGATTTTTGTTTGCTTATTCAAGACTAAACAATGGAAAATACTTGATCATACCATTAAAGAGACTGTATATGATGAGTCATATTAACATAAATGCATCATCTTTCTGAACTTTTATTTCAGGAACATACACAGTGTATATTTTAAAGTACCTTGAACCATGAAACTTGCACATGAATATAATAGTCAAATGTTTAATAAAACAACGTATAAGTATAAAGTATTGGAGTAAATGTAATTAGTTACTGTTCTTAAGTATATTTTTGGCTACTTTGTAGTTTTACTGATTATCAAAAATACTTTTACTCTCTACTTGACTGCATTTTTAATATAGGTACTCTTAACTATTAATACATTTGTAATGAGAAACTCTGTTATGTCAACCTTGATTTGACAATTCTGAGGTGTTCAGTTTTATTTCGATTTTAGAAAAGAAATAAATGTGATTGCTCTCCTCACAAATCAACTGTTTATTAGGTGACTAGTGCATCTTGAGCTTGCATTCAGTATGAGTAAAATACTGAAGTACTGTTAGAATCAAGTCGTCTTAGAATTGGTGACTTGTAACTTGTAATGGTCATTTTCACTGTAATGTTTTTTACTCAGGTATGGTTTTCAGGTACTCTTTACTACTCTGTTGAAAAGGAAAACCTTTTAACACTATACTAACATAAATATTACCTGAGATTATCATTGTTATTGAACACAGTGTGTTTCCAGACCTGTAGATCGTTTGGTTGGTTCCAAAACAGGGTCTTAAAATAAATGTTGCATTTTCTCCTTGGTTAGGTGTGCTTTCAAAAGTCACGTGTGTAAACCTGTCCTCTCATTGGTCAGAGTTGATGTTTCAGGATCTTGTTCATAGTGTTAATCTATCAAGATGCAGACAAGCTACATATATACAAATGCATATGCATGTAAGCCTTGATTCCTGCTTTCAATAATCAATTGTCAAAACTGATGATATTCAGAGAGTTAAATGACTTGGCACAAGCTGATTGGTTCATGTTGCATATGCAGCCAATGAGCTTTTTTAAACTAGAAAACATAACATAAGTTGTAAAACTACGCGCAGGTTATTCACAAGAGGAGAAATTACTAAGCATGTCTTGTTCATATAACAGAAGTAGCATTAGCAGCAGCAGCAAGCAGTTTTCCTAGTTTATGTATGTGAGTATACAACGTCAAGCGTCGCAGATTTTATAACAGTAAAGTGAATTGGGGATCATTTTATTTGCCTGAAATCTCCAATGCTTATAATATCTTCTGTAGGCATTAATTTCTACATCTACGATAAGATGACGCTTGGATGGTAGTGAACTTTTTAGGTGAAATAGGCATTTTATTACTTTGCTATTCAATTTAACAGGGTTTACAGAACTCTTCAAAGCGAAATAAGCATTAATTGGTTGTGTTACTACTGTAATTCTAAGTACAGAAACACATTTAACTCAGGTCACTAGTTTAAGCTATCTGGTCAACCGATCAGGGACACACAGCAATAGTTCACTAGCGTTAAGCCATTGGGCAAAGCCGGCCCAGGCTCACATAGATAGCAAACACACAGTCTCATGGCTCTCCGGAGCAGCAGCAGTACATATGTCTTGGCAATAGACCTGCTTGTTCTGGGGGGTTTTATCTTTTATATTTCTTCTGCCTTATAGGGATGATTTTAAGCATATTATTGTATAGCAGCGGCATACATATTTAGTTGTTTTGTTTTCTTCTTCCAGCTTTGTTGGAGGGTTATTTCAGATGCTATTTGTGCAGCAGCAGTATGTCTTAAGTACTCACGGCACTGTATCCCCCATATGCATTGCCAGTAGCAAGTTCCTGTACTTTCTTGCAGCAGGAGCAATAATCTACAACTACAGCAAATACCAACAGCAGCAGCAATTCAGCAGCAGCGTAGCAGATCTATTTTCCGCCAAGACCAAATACATTAACATTGTCATATCCATCACCATGCTAAAATCTTCAGAGAGTTGTCATGATTGAAATATATATATATAGACAGTATATATATAGCAGTTGCACAACATTTAGAGATCTTTGGTTTTCAACTATGCTTTTTTTGGTCTTTCAGGTCAGATTGATTTGTTGTCTCACCACAAGTAAACCATTCCAGAGTTTGTTTCCAATCAGGCCGAGACCACATTGTTCAGACGATTTTGAACTGATTTGTTTTGGTGTGCATCCAAACACAATTGCCGTTTATTTTTTTGTGTTTCTGTGTGTGTGTGTGTGTGTGTGTAATGTATTTAACCAAACTAAGGGAGAAAACATGGCAGGTTATAAAATGAGCCAGGTGTGATTAAGCCCATAGTTAGTATGTTTTTGTTCCCAGACACAACAATACAGAATTAGAAACCATTCCAGAAGTAGAGTCTCTTGTTTCTGACTGAATTTACCTTTTTTATTACAAAAGTTTCCAAAATGAACTTAATTGAGGTCAACTGAAGTGAAGATGTAATTTAAATTGAGTTTGCGTCTGCTGTTTTTCATAGAGCTGACCCCGGAAGAGAAGGCCCATCGGGTGGCTAAGGCGATTCGTAAGCAGACTGCAGAGGTGGGTGAGCGCTGGGAGAGGCTGATGGGACATGCGGGAACCTGGCAAGAGCAGGCGGACAGAGCACTGGATAAACTCCAGGATCTCCAGAGCTCCATGGACCAACTGGACCTGCGTCTAGCCCAGGCCGAGGAGCTCAAAGCAGGGTGGCAACCGGTGGGAGACCTTCTCATAGATTCCCTACAGGATCACATCGAGAAAACAACGGTACGTTACTGTTCTTGTCGGTATGAAAGTTCAGTCAATTCATCCTGGATTATTAATTCTAAAAATTATAATTCTGTCATCATTCACTCATGATTTCATTTCAAACCTGTATGACTGACTGACTTCTGTGGAGCATAAAAGAAGATATTCATCATGATACTTTTCACTGCTAGGAAATGGGGGTTGTGAAGCTTCAAAAAGGTGCATAAAAGATCCCAAAAAATTGGCTTTTTTGCAGTATGACAAGTCCTGGTCAATTTTACTTTCATTGTATGAACAAGAACTATGTGAACATTTAGTTTAACATCTCGATCATAAGGTATTCCATTAAAGAAACATAATCCTTTGGGTTTTGAAGAACACAAGGGAGGGTAAATAGTGACAGAATTTCCATTTTTGTGTGAACTATTCCTTTAAGGATTATTCTAGTTTATTCTAGTTAATAATTTTCCTGCCTGAAGCTATTTTTATAGTTTTATCCCACGATGACGCTGTTACACCTCTCACACATGCTATGAGTCATTGCCAAACGCTCCGGCTGATGATTTATTTAAATTTGTGTTTGGGCGATATGCAGAGATAAAGATGGTAATGTGATTTATTTATCTCTCTCTCTCTCTCTCTCTGTGTGTGTGTGTTTCAGGTGTTCTGTGATGAGATCGCGCCTCTGAAACAGGATGTCCGAGCTGTGAATGATCTGGCAGGTCAGCTGACCCCACTGGATGTCCAGCTGTCCTCCACCACCAACCGCCAGTTAGACAACCTCAACATGCGCTGGAAACTACTGCAGGTATTTTGCCTATTATTTTGCCTTTTCCTTTTTCCATATTACTTTTTTTTGCCTTTAGTTTTTCCTTTCCCTTTTGCTTTCCTTCTCCTTCATCTTCTTGTTCTGTTTATGCAGGTGCTCTGCATATTCATTTCCTTTTTCTATTCCTTTCTTTTTTATTTTCCCATTTCCTTTGCTTTCCTTTCCTTTCCTCATTCATTTTCCTTTTCCTTTCCTGTTCCTTTCATGCAGGTTATCTGCATACTCCTCTCCTTTTCATTTTCCTTTACTAATTATTCCTCTTCTTTTTCATTTCATACACACTCCTCTCCTTTTCCATTTCCTTTCTCTGTCCTATTTCTTGTTTGTTTCCTCCTTCCTCTTCCTGTTCTTTTTCATACATCCTTCCCTTTTCCTTTCCTTTCCCTTCCCTTTTCCATTCCCTTCCCCCTTTTCCCTTCCCTTCCCTTTTCCTTTCCCTTCACTTCCCTTCCCTTCCCTTCCCCCTTCCCTTTTCCATTCCCTTCCCCGTTCCCTTTTCCCTTCCCTTTTCCCCTTCCCTTCCCCCTTCCCTTTTCCATTCCCTTCCCTTCCCTTCCCCGTTCCCTTCCCTTCCCTTCCCTTCCCTTCCCTTTTCCATCCCTTCCCTTCCCCTCCCTTTTCCCTTCCCTTTTCCCTTTCCCTTCCCTTCCCTCCCCTTCCCTTCCTAATAGCAAATCCTAATAAATCTAATAAATAATCTAATAAATCCAGTCTCTTCTCTTGTGTCATTAGTGCAGTCTGTGTTCGTGAGGATGTATGTTGTTCTCAGAAGTGGTGTGTGTGTGTGTGTGTGTGTGTGTGTGTGTGTGTGTGTGTGTGTGTGTGTGGTGTGTCTGATGAGACTTTATCTGTTTTCCTCAGGATCTGTTTAGCACACTCACTGACGGTGCAGAAAGACTAAGTCTTGAGTGTGTCTGTTCATTACCGTCTTTCATATGCTGAGATTTGTGCCCTGCTGTGACTGTGTGGATGCATTTTCTTTTCAGCTTGTTTGTCATTCCATTTATCAGCCAATCTAACTGTCTCTCTCCCTGTCTCTGTCTGTCTCCAGGCGGCTGTAGAGGACAGGTTGAAGCTCTTACAGGAAGCACACAGGGATTTTGGACCCTCCTCTCAACACTTCTTATCCAGTGAGTCAAAACACATGAATAAATTCACACCATCATGTCAGCTTTATTTCACTGGGCTTCAGTGCTGCCTGAAAAGTTAGTGGTACTTGCCAAGGCAACTTTACTATTACAAACCCTCCTGAAAAGACCAGCTTAGACAGCATGAGTTCTGAATGGTTAGTGTTAGTTTGAAGCTGGTGTAGTTGGTGGATCAACACAGTACATGAGCAGTTAGTGAAATCGGTTGACCAATGAAGTCTCGCTGGTTAAACTAGTTAAGATCCGGATGGGAACACCAGCATAACATCATCTAAAACATAACACACTCTGGTGACACATTTTTCTGTTTTCAGCTGTTTATTCTAGTATATATGGTTAGTATTTGCTCAAACCCATAACCAAGGGTATTATAGCTTATCCTGCACAATTTGAAATAATTGATGCTTCAGTCTTCAAACTTGTTGATGAAAGGTCTGTTTACTTTACTAAGAGATTTTCTTCTTGAAGATATGAAAACCAGTGAAAAATCCCTTGCATTTCTGATTTAAATGTCTGTCTTCTCTTTGTTTGGGGAGAATAGTAGCAACTTGTTTCAGTCTCTACTTTAAATATTTAATGTTCATGTAATATTCACGGGTGTAATTGCTTTTGTAGAGTGTTAATAGTATCAGTGCTGTAATCACAGAGATTTGCCAACTCATTCTCATTGAGGGGACAAAAATAATTGAAATTAATTTGATTTTAATTGGCACAAGTTTACACTCGCACACAAACAGTAACTGTCAGCCATGAAAAATTAAGCAGCCAGTGTCAGATGCGATGGAAAATCACACCTCAGTACACACATATACACTTTAACAGTGGCAAAGCTTTTGTGTTTAATAAGTCAGAGGTTAACTCTCCACTATTTTCTGTTTCAATGGGCTGTCAAGAGCAGTCATTAACACACACACGTTTTATTTGATCAGTTTTAATGTTTCCTTTATTGGCAATGAAAATGTGTCAATTACGTTATATTAAATAAGATGTAACAATAACAGTACATAAAACAATGTTCTCTCTCACCCTACACCTTTTTTCCGAAATGTTGGCAGTAAATGGTGTTAAGGTTTTTTTTTTTTAACCTTGTGTTACCTGCCTCCTTTTCTTATCCATCCCTGTGCTGTAAGTTACTCTGCAGTTTGTGTAATGCTGACACGAGACATGCGGAAAGCTCTTTACTTAAGACCGTCACTAGAGTTTTTTTAGAGCCTTTGAAGTTGTAGCATCCTGAATCCCATGGCATTCGCTGTGAAAGCAGTGTTGCGTCCAGTAAATTCTGCTGAGAGAGCAGTTCTGCGATATATATCATCCAGTGTGAACCTTAGGAATGTTACTTTAGTGTCTGGAGAAATTAAAAGAGCGAGAGTCCGCTGATATGAGAGAGATGTTCTTAATTAACGCTTCATTTACCAACAGAGTTGAGATCAGACCCCTGATCTCCGCTCGAATCAATCTTTTATTATGTGTCCGCAGCTTCGGTGCAGTTGCCCTGGCAGAGAGCAGTGTCCCAGAATAAAGTGCCCTACTACATCAAGTAAGTGCTCCCTCAGACATAGCCGCACATCTGTTTCCATGTGGACTGATCTCTTTAAGGGTGCTTTCACTTCAGAGCTGTCGGAGCGGAACCGAGTTGTTTTGACACCAGCATGGTGTGAAATCCGCTTTTTGAACATAGAAACACACTAGCAAACGGTTTCAAAGTTTGGCTGAAATGGTGGACTGAGCTGATGTATGGCTCATAGGGACACCTTTGCGAATTACTTTTGGCATGAACACATTTCGGGAGCAAATTGTTATTGTACATTTTTTTAATTTATTTTTATATACACTGCCGTTCAAAAGTTTGAGTCAGTAAGATGTTAAAAGTGTTTTTGAAAGTCTCTGAGGCTGAATTTATTAAATATAAAAATATAATAAAAAATGTAGAAATATTATTAGAATTTAAATTGACTGTTTTCTGTGTGAATACATTTTAAAATATGATTTATTGCTGTGATCAAAGCAGAATTTTCAGCATCATTACTCCAGTCTTCAGTGTCACATGATCCTTCAGAAATCAGTATAATATGCTGCTCAAGAAACATTTCTGATTATTATCAATGATGAAAGCAGTTTTTGTGAAAACCACAATATATATAGTATATTTTTCAGGATTCTTTGTTGAGTAGAAAGCTTATTTCAAACGGTTATTTGAAAGAAAAATCCTTTGTAACATTATGAATGAATTTACTGTCAATTTTGATCAATTTAATGCATCCTTGCTGGGGAAAAAAAAATCTTTAAAAAAACGGAAGGAAAAAAAAAACACTATCCCAAACTTCTTGGCCTGATCTAGGACCCCAGGGTCTCAGTGGAGATCAGGTTCTGTATCCTAACTCACATTTGTCATGTAAAAAACAGTCAAATCCGAGCCACCACGGCAAGCAGGATTTATTCAGTAAATTCAAGCGTGACCTCACAACGTCTCTGCAGACTATAGGCAAAAGTTACAGCTCCTCTGCCCAAATACATTGTCCCTTCAGCTAAGTGCCCATCGAGCCCCGAGAGAGAAAGACAGTTGCTTACAGCAGCATCCTGACAATGAGCCAGACATGGAGGAGGAGGAATGGCATGTGAATTAAGGTGGGAAAAAAAATAGTGACCTAGAGAGCAAAAAAAGAATAGAATAGACTTTACGGATATTCACCATGGCATCTGTGGTGTCTTAAAATGCATGGTCTACTACAGTTATTAGTCACTAAACTGTGATGCTGAATTGTGCCAAACAGATTGTTCCAGATCAGCAGTGCGTTACGTTACATTTTAACTCTGGAGTTTTGTAGTTGAGAAAAGGAGATGAAAGGGGCCTGTAAAAGCAGAAACAGACAAAAGCAGCCGTGTGTGTGCAGGGCAGCAGGTGTGTTGTGGCGAATGCCCGGTAGCTGAACTCCTCTTCTCTGACAGTCCCCATATGGCCGTGCATATATGAATACAGCAGAGATGCTTTCTTTCTCATCGTTTCATTTCCTGAAGGAATCTCTCTTACATTTGCAGAAAGCCTTGTGTGAGGCTGCTCGAAGCTCTCTGTGCTCTTACATCTAGAGCTGATCTCCAGAACAAACGTTTGGTTCTCTGTACAATGCGTCCTCTCGGCTCATTGATCTTCCTGTTCTGAGGCAGCGGCAATTAGCAAAGCGTATTGGTCTTCCTAATTAAAAGTCGCTGGCTCTCGGCGCCCTGCTAGTTGTGAGGGAAAGCCCTCAGGCGTCTGAAGTCAGAGATCGGTGTGGAGGGCGATCTGCGGGAGCTTGTTGGCCATGACAGGCTGCTTTACCTGTCAAACGGCTTTCAAGAAAAGAGACTTGAGACAAAACAGCCACAAATAAGGTGTTTTTGCACATGGGTGATCTTTAATAAAACGCCTTTAAGTGGATCAAAAAGTGAAAAATGAGCTAGTTCTTTTTGCGTTCACACTGTTCCTGGCCTTAAATCTAATTTCAGATCTCTTTTGTTCATTTTAGTAATGTCCATGTCTCACTCTCTTTTGTTTGTTTGTTTGTTTGTTTAATGAACAGTAGAGCATTATTCTGCTTCGTGCTTGGAACCATACCTAACAAATAAATGATTAATAATAATATTATATTAACATTAATGTTATATTAAAATAATAATTTAAATAGCACATGTATTTAAATCTATTCACTCTTTTATGTTAGAATTAAAACAGATATGTGAATCGAATGCACCTTATACCATGAAACTTGTTTGTATTGATGATGATGATTATATGTGATAATTTACACATATATAAATAATTACAATTATTGTAATTATTTTCTATTATATATGTTTGCATAATAGAATGACTTTACAGTGAAATTAGATTGAATATTATATATTTTATAGACATTTATATATTTTGTGTTTTATTATGTATATTATATTTTTATAGACAAAATTATTGAATGTTATTATTAATATCATCTGTTCATCTGGAGTTTTGCTTTGCCTTTGCTTTGCTTTTATATAAGCCAAGATTCTTGCGACTCACAAGAGTGAAATACTGGTTCTTCTCGATCGAAACACACAAACTTTCTCTAACACACACAAATACTTATGCTGACTCAAATAATCAAACATTAATTGAAGAGATCAAAGGAATGAAGTGTGTTTGAAACTAGGGGTGAGTGTGTGTGTGTGTGTGTGTGTGTGTGTGTGTGTATGAGTGTGTATGAGTGTGTATGAGTGTGTGTGTGTGTGTGTGTGTCTGTGAGTGTGTGTGTGTGTGTGAGTGTGTATGAGTGTGTATGAGTGTGTGTGTGTGTGTGTGTGTCTGTGAGTGTGTGTGTGTGTGTGAGTGTGTATGAGTGTGTATGAGTGTGTGTGTGTGTGTGTGTGTGTGTGTGTGTGAGTGTGTGTGTGTGTGTGTGTGTGAGAGAGATGAGAGAGCAGCATCTAATCCTGTAAGCAGCTCAGCGCTCTCAGTGAAACACCTCTCATATCCTGTACTGTAAACCTCTGCCTGCTGCTCGGGATGCAGAATGTAACCAAGCAGTTATTTAGTTTGTTCTTTATTTAATTATATATACTTCATATATTTTTTTCAGTGCTTTAAACATTTACTCCACCTTTTCTAAAGTTTGGGTTCAGTTAGTCAGTTTCTTTCTTTTTTTTTTTTTTTTTTTTTTTAAAAAAAATGAAAACTTGTTTTCTTTCTTTTTTGCAAGGACACTTTAAATTCCTCAAAAGTAACAATAATTGTGCTATAAAAGATTTATATTTCAAATACATTTTGTTCTGTTGAACTTTCTCTTAATCCAAAAATCCTGAAAAAAGTACTATGGTTTTCACACACTCACACACACTCTCTCTCTCACTCACACACACACACACACACACACACACACACACACACACACACACACACACACACACAAACACACACACAC